GATCGTGAAATTGAAAAGTGGGGAAATTGAAAAGTCAAAAAATTAAGAAATCAGAAAATTGAGGAATAGAAAAATTGAAAAATGGAGAAATCGAAACATGAAAAGATCGAGAAAGCGAGAAGTCAAGAAGTCGAAAAATTTAAAAGTTAATCAAAAAATCGAAAAATCGAAATCACGCGAAATTGAGAAATTGAAAAATTAAAAAATCGAAAAACTGGAAAATTTAAAAAACTTAAAACATTGAAAAATTGAAAAAACCTAAAAATTGAAGAATCAGAAAATTGAAGAGTCGAAAAATTGAAAAATTCCAAATTTGAAATAACCAGAAACTGGGAAATCAAAAAACTGGAAAATTGAAACAACGAAAAATTCAAAAATAAAACTTTGAGAAATCGAAACATCAAAACACCGAGAAATCGAAAAATTTGGAAATTAAAAAATTGAATCATGGAAAAACCGAAACATCAAAAAGTCGAAAAATTTAAAAACAGGAAAACATTCAGAAATCGAAAAATCAAAAACTCTAGAAATCGAGAAGTCGAGAAATCTAAAAATCGAAATGTCGAAAAATTTCAGAAATCGAAAAACCGAGATATCAAAAAATCAAAAAATTGAAAAACCGAAATATTCAAAAATCTAAAATTTTAAAAACGAAATTTTCAAAAGTCGCAAAAATCGAAAAAATGAAAAATTGAAAAATCGAAAAATTAAAAATCTAAAATTTAAAAATTGAAAGTTCAAAAATCGCAAAATTGAAGAATCGAAAAACTGAAAAATTGAGAATTTGAGACATTCCAAATTTGAAATGACGAAAGACTGGGAAATCGAAACATTGAAAAATAAAACATCAAAATATTGAGAAAGCGAGAAGTGGAGAAGTCGAAAAATCGAAAATTTTAAAAGTTAAAAATTGAAAAATATAAAATTTAAAAATTCGGAAAATTGAAAAATCGAAAATTTCAAAAATCTAAAATCTAAAAATCGGAAAATTGAGAAATTGGGAAATTAAGGAATCGAAAAATTCCAAATCAGAAATGACGAAATATTGAAAAATCGAAACATTGACAAAATTCAAAAACTGAAACTTCGAGAAATCGAAACATCAAAAAATCGAGAAAGCGAAAAGCGAGGGAAATTGTAAAGTCGAAAAATTAAGAAATCAGAAATTTGAAAAATGGAGAAATCGAAATATGAAAAGATCGAGAAAGCGAGAAGTCAAGAAGTCGAAAAATCGAAAAATTTAAAAGTTAATCGAGAATCCGAAAAATTGAAAAGTCCAAAAATCGGCCAATCAAAAAATCCAAAAATCGAAATCTCGCGAAATCGAGAAATCAAAAAATTAAAAAATCGAAAAACTGAAAAATTTTTAAAATTTAAAACCGAAACACTGAAAAATTGAAAAAACCTAAAAATTCAAAAATCAGAAAATCGAAGAGTCGAAAAATTGAAAAATTCCAAATTTGCAATAACCAGAAACTGGGAAATCAAAAATCTGGAAAATTGAAACAACGAAAAATTCAAAACTAAAGCTTTGGAAAATCGAAGCATCAAAACACCGAGAAATCGAGAAATTAAAATGTTCTAAAAATGAAATGACGAAAAATAAGGAAATTAAAAAATTGAATCATGGAAAAATCGAAACATCAAAAAGTCGAAACATTTTCAAACAGGGAAACATTAAGAAATCGAAAAATCCAAAACTCTAGAAATCGAGAAGTCGAGAAATCTAAAAATCGAAAAGTCGAAAAATTCAAAAATCATAAAATGTAAAAATTGAAAAATCGAAAAATTCTAATATCTAAAATTTAAAAATCGAAAAATTCAAAAATCGCAAAATTAAATTGAAAAACTGAAAAATCGAGAATTTGAAACGTTACAAATTTGAAATGACGAAATACTGGAAAATCGAAAAATGTAAAATTTAAAAATTCCAAAAATTAAAAAATCTAAAAATTTAAATATTTAAAATTTAAAAATCGCAAAATTGAAGAATCGAAAAACTGAAAAATCGAGAATTTGAAACATTTGAAATTTGAAATGACGAAATATTGGAAAATCAAACCATCGAAAAATCCTAATATGGAAAAATTGAGAAATCGAAAAATCTAAAATTTAAAAATTCCAAAAATTGAAAAATCTAAAAATTCAAATATCTAAAATTTAAAAATCGAAAAATTCAAAAATCGCAAAATTGAAGAATTGAAACATTGCAAATTAGAAATTACGAAATATCGAAAAATATAAAATTTAAAAATTCCAAAAATTGAAAAATCTAAAAATTCAAATATCTAAAATTTAAAAATCGAAAAATTCAAAAATCGCAAACTTGAAGAATTGAAACATTGCAAATTAGAAATTACGAAATATTGGAAAATAAAAAATTGAAACATGAAAAAATAGAAACAACGAAAAGTCGAAAAATTTAAAAACTGAAACATCAAGAAATCGAAAAATCAAAAGCTCTAGAACGCGAGAAGTCGAGAAATCTAAAAATCGAAAAGTCGAAAAATTTTAGAAATTGAAACATCGAAAAATCATAAATTGGAAAAATTGAAAAGTCGCAAAATTGAGCAATTGAAAAAATGAGAAATTGAAAAATTGGAAAATCGAAACATCGAAAAATTCAAAAACCAAAACATCGAGAAATCGAAACATAAAAAGATCGAGAAAGCGAGAAGTCAAAAAATCGAAAAATTTTAAAAGTTAATCCAAAAATCGAAAATCGAAATCTCGCTAAATCGAGAAATTGAAAAATAAAAAAATCGAAAAACTGGGAAATTAAAAAAAATTAAAACCGAAACATTGAAAAATTGAAACACCAAACATTTTTTAATTTAAAAATTCAAAAACCGAAAAATCTAAAACCGAGAAGTCAAAAATTTGAAATACCGGGAAATGGAAACAAGAAAAAACTGAAAAATCTAAAATTTAAAAATTCGAAAAATTGAAAAATAGATAATTCGAAACAGTAAAAAATAGAAAAATCTAAGATTTAAAAACTGCGGAACTGAAAAAACCAAAAAAGTAAAAAATCGAAAAAACTAAAAATCGAAAAGTCGAATAATGTAAAAATTGAATAATCGCAATATGTACATATCGAAAAATCCTAAAACTGTAATATCAAAAAATTGAAAAATCAAGAAATTTAAAAGTTGTAAAGTCTAAAAACTTAAGAAATCGAAAAACTAAGGTGTCAAGAAATCGAAACAACCAAAAATCATAAAACGTAAAAATTGAGAAATCAGAAAATTGAAGAATCGAAGAACTGAAAAATCCAGAAATTGAAAAATTGAGACAAACGAAACTTTGAGAAATTGAAACATCAGAACACCCAGAAATCGAGAAAGCGAAAAGTCCAAAAGTCAAAAAATTGAAAAATTGAGAAATCGGGAAATTGAATAAAAAAACTGAAAAATCGAGAAATTAAAAAATGGAAAAATCGAAACATCGAAAAGTCGAAAAATGTAAAAACTGAAACATCAAGAAATCGATAAATCAAAACTTCTAGAAATCGAGAAGTCGAGAAGTTGAAAAATCGAAAAATCTAAAAGTTTAAAATTGAAAAATTGAAAAATTTTACATTAAAAAAAAATCGATAAATTAATCGAAAAGCGAAAAAGTCAAAAAATCAGTCAATCAAAAAATCGGATCATCGAAATCATGCTAAATCGAGAAATCGAAAAATTGAAAATTCGAAATATCAAAAATTTTTAAAATCTATAAATTGTAAAACCGAAAAATCTGAAACCGAGAAGTCAAAAAATGGAAAGATCGAGAAATCGAAACAACAAAAAACCGAAAAATCGAAAGTTTTAAAAATTGAAAAACCGGAAAATATAAAATTCGAAAAACTGAGAAATCGAAAAATTTTTACACATATCTACAATTTTCCAAAAATCTCGATATTTGGATAACAGTCGGAATTACTATACTTTTTTGTCTAAGTATGTAAATATTTGTAAATTTTGACCGAATAAAATGTGTATGAGTATATTTAAATTTTCAATCGACGCGGGAAATTTAAAATAGTGCAGATTATCACCGAACGTAGTATATAATACATGATATAAATACCTGGCTGGGTCAAAAGTGAATTTTATTTTGTAATCTCTTTGTCACAACTTTTTCTACGTGGAGTAGTAGTAGTATTGTAGTAGAAAATGTGTTAATAATTTTTAGACACACTTTATGAAACCGCCTGCACCCAAAAATTATTCTACTTTTGTTATTTCCTACTTCTCATTGTCTTTATAATACAAGGTGATAAAAAAAATCCTGCACTAATTAAGTTGGCTATGAATGACGTGCCACAAACGTCAGTCATAACCAACTTGATCGACGGTGTTTTATAATCATCTTTTAAGATGTTTTACGTTTTACTTTTTCACAGTCTGACCTTGAAATTGTTGACATAAATATACAGGGTGTCCGATGATCTGACAAACTTTGCCCACTTGTCTCAGCGGGTTGCTAGACAAGTAAGCCAGTTAACATTGGCTTTGGGCTTACAGAACATTAATTAAACATTTATTGATATTTTCCGCCAGAAAACCGATGACTTCACTTCATTGAAATCCAAAAATAAATGCTTAACGTAAAATACGCAGTGCAAATAACTCCACGAATTTGTAATTTTGTAAACCGGTATAACAGAGGTAGACAAAGGTATACGTAATATCTTTGTTGTAACACTTCTTCCATTTTTATTCTTGTTGGTTTTGTTAAACTAATATTTACCTACCTGATGAATAAGTAGGTACTTCTGAAAACACTATTTGTAATTAAATCAGTCAATGATTCAAAGAAAACACACAATTATAAAACAATGAATGAATAAATGAAATAAACATTCAGCAACAATTGTCGTCGATGCTGCAACCAGTAAAACACGCCTCGTTAAGCATTCCTTCCACAAAAACAATTCTCTTTTATTTTTATGTGCAAATCATGTTTTTGACCTCTTGAACTTTCGTAGAAGGCTATCGTAGATTTCTTTTAATAGCTTCTCGGTCTCTGTCCTTGTTACCACGCATGTTACCAAAGTGGATTTTCCAGTCATACGTAGAGCCTCAATAATTCTTACAAAACAAAGACGACTGGTTATCCCCAAGCATAAATATTTACCAACCATTTAAAAACCGTCAATGACGTTATACCATATTACAAAATGTGGCCTCTTGCGTTTGTAGTGTTGTTACTAGCCCCCAGTTACTCTCAATCGCAAGAAACAGACACCTGCAAGTGTGTATTTTACTACCTCTGTGTCAACGGCACCATCGTCGTCGATGGAAACGTGGACGGCCTCCTCGACGAAAGGTAAACCATCTTTTAACCCAATCAAACAATACAAACTCCATTTTAGACTCGGCGAGGCATGTGATTGTAAGTGTCCAGACGGACAAGTCTGTTGTTCTCTCGGAAACGCAACGTCAATCTTGCCACCCCCACCCACCACCTGCGGCCAACGAAACCCCGATGGCGTAGGCCCGAAATCCGGAAGCAACGACGAGGACGTCAACTTCGGGGAGTTCCCATGGGCCATCGACATCCTCCTCGAGAACCGCGCCTTCAGGTGCGCGGGCTCTCTCATCCACCCTGCGGTTGTCCTAACCGCCGCTCACTGCGTCCTCCGCAAGAAAACCTACATAGCAAGAGCGGGGGAATGGGACAACTCGGGGACCGGTGAGCTGCTCAAGCACCAGGACCTCCTGGTCGACTCGGTCAAAATCCACGAGGATTACAACCCTGCGGTGTACTACAACGACGTGGCTTTGTTGTTCCTAAAGGGGGCGTTTAATTTGTCCGCGCATATACAGCCGGTGTGTCTGGCAGGGGCTGGTTTTAGTGGGAGTAGCGAACGGTGCTATGTGGTGGGACGCGGGAAGGATCAAAATGGGCAATATAACCCCATTCTTAAAAAAATTGATTTGCCGCTGGTGGATAAAGCGTCTTGCGAAAATAGTCTGAAACGGTCACCGAAATTGGGGCACAATTTTAAGCTTCATGGTAGTTTCTTGTGTGCTGGAGGGGAGAAGGGGAAAGATGCGTGTGTGGGAGATGGGGGTGGGTCTTTGGTGTGTCCTATTAGTGGAGAAGAGGAGAAGTTTGAGCAGGTTGGGATTGTGGCCTGGGGGCTGGGGTGTCACCAAGAGAACACGCCAGCGGCTTACTCCAATGTTCCATTTTTGAGGGAATGGGTTGATAAGCAGATGAAGGAGTGGGATTTCGATAAGAGCTCATACACGTTTCCGAAGTAGACTTGACTGAGTAGTAATAATAATGCACGAAGAAGAGTTGGGTGGAAGTAGGCTTTGCACGACAAAAATGCTATACATTTTGTCGTCTAGTACAATGTACACAATATTTTAAATAAAATTGTATAAAGAAGTGTTATTTCTTCTTGGTGACTATTTTTGAAAAGTAATTAATTACAATTACAAATTGCTTTTTGCTCTCTCTCCCGTTTTCGTCTGTCTGTCTGTCCGTCTGTCTGTCGTCCAGATTTTTATTAGACAGACTCCGAAAGTACTAGCCCGATTATTATCAAATTTTGTATTTTTATTAAAACATCATGTAAATACAAAAAAACAAAACTCAAAATTATAAAATAACATTTTGCAATTTAATTTTGAACCTACCAAACTATATTTTGTTTATCCCCTCTAAAAAAATTATGGCGTCAGCTCAAACTTTTGCCGAATAAATCCAATCTAAAATGTCCAAAATATGATGAGTCTGCTTGTGATTTATCACTGCATTGATATTTTTTAGATTTGTTATAGGTAAACAAAGCTAACATTGCTTACAAGCTAAGGTAAATGAAGATCACTATTTATGGTGGTCATTGCAATGATAATAATCAGGTAGTAGTTTTTTTTTAGGATTTTTATAAAGCATTTGATACCATACATCATGGCATCTTTCTAGAAAAACTGTGAAAAATTACATACCCTCTATGAAAATGGAGGGCGGGTAGGTGGGGGTTAGTATTTCTTAAGATAAGGCTGATTTTCGTAAATGACTGAACAATATTAAAAGCAATCATTGGAATCAAAAGGGGGTGGGTGGGCGGGGCTATTGCTTGTTCGCAAATTGACTGTTTGGAAAAAGTTAACCTTAGCCCCGCCCACCCACCCGTTCTATCATTTTTTCCTTCTGAAATAAGAAATAAATTTTATAGGAAATAGTATAACAAAAAATTACGATTAGGCCATTTTTAAACGGCCTACATTTTTTTGGTTTCCATTCGCACTAAGAAAATAAAGGGTGGGTGGGCGGGGCTAGTACTTGCTAAGATTAGACTGACTGTAGAAAATTACATATTCTCTAAGAAAATAGAGGGCGGGTGGACGGGGTCAATATTTCTTAAGATATAGAGTAATCACTGGAACGAAGAGGGGGTGAGTGGGTGGTGACTATTGCTTGCTCATAAATAACTCTGTAGGAAAAAGTTAAACTTAAGCTAGTATTTCTTAAGATAAGGCTGATTTTGCTAAATGACTCAACAATATCAAGATTAATCACTGGAATGAAGAGAGGGTGGGCAGGTGGGGCTATTGGTTGCTTATAAATGACTCTGTAGGAAAAAGTTAATTTTAGCCCCACCCACCCACCCGTTCTCTAATCTTTTTCTTTTGAAATGAAAAATAAATCTTACAGGAAATAGTATAACAAAAAATTACGATTAGGCCTTTTTTAAACGGCCCTTTAGTTCCCATCCTCACTCTACAAAAGAACATAAAATTAACCCCGCCCATCCGCCTCGCCTTCATTTCAGTGGTTCATTTTATCTGGTGCGAAGGGAAGCTGTATCTCATACTGAACAGAAATAGAATCGTTGGAGTCAGAACAGCGCGTGTGGGCGGGGCTATTACCTGCTAAGATACCACTGACTTTTGTAAATGACTTACTTTCTAAGAAAATACAGGGTGGGTGGGCGGGGCTAGTACTTGCTAAGATAAGACTGACTGTGCAAAATTACAAACATAGCCTGTAAGTTTTTCTATCTATATATATAACAATATTTAGAGTAATCACTGGAACGAAGAGGGAGGGGATGGGCGGGGCTATTGCTTGTTTACAAATGACGCTGTAGGAAAAAGTTAAACTTAGCCCCGCCCACCCACCCGTTCTTTTATTTTTATCTTCTGAAATAAGAAATAAATCTTATTTGAAATAATATAACAAAATAATATGAATAGCGTTTTTTTACGGGCTATATTTTTTTAGTTCCCATTTTCAGTCTATAAAAGAACATATCATTAACTCCGCCCACCCGCTCCGCCTTGATTTCAGTGATTAATTTTATTTGGTCCGAAGGAAAGGTATTTCTCATAGTGAACAGAAATAAAATAATTGGAATCAGATCAGCGCAGGTGGCAGACTGATTGTGGAAAATTACATATCCTTTAAAAAAATATAGGGCGGATGGGCGAAGCCAGTATTTTTTAAGATAAGGCTGATTTTACTAATAAATGACTCAACAATATCAAGATTAATATCTGTAATGAAGAGGGGGTGGGTGGGCGGGGCTAGTATTTGCTAAGATAAGACTGATTGTGGAAAATTACATATCCTCTAAGAAAATATAGGGCGGATGGGCAAAGCCAGTATTTTTTAAGATAAGGCTGATTTTACTAAATGACTCAACAATATCAAGATTAATCACTAGAATGAAGAGGGGGTGGGTGGGTGGGTGGGGCTATTGCTTGCTTATAAATGACTCTGTAGGAAAAAGTTAAACTTAGCCCCGCCCACCCACCCGTTCTCTCATTTTTTCTTCTAAAATGAGAAATAAATTTTATAGCAATTAGTATGACAAAAAATTAAGAATAGCGCTTTTGTAACGGCCTGCATTTTTTTAGTTCCAATTCTCACTCTACAAAAGAACATACAATTAACCACGCCCACCTACCCCGCCTGCATTCATCTTATCTAGTCCGAATGAAAGATAGATCTCATACTAAACAGAAATAAAATTGTTGGAATCAGAACAGCGCGGGTGGGCGGGGCTATTACCTGTTAAGGTACGACTGACTTTTGCAAATGACTTATCTTCTAAGAAAATAAAGGGTGGGTGGGCGGGGCTACTACTTGCTAAGATAAGACTGACTGTGGAAAATTACATATCCTCTAATAAAATAGAGGGCGGGTGGACAGGATCAGTATTTCTTATGGTAAAGCTGATTTTGGTAAATGACTGAACAATATTAAGATTAATCACTGGAATGAAGAGGGGGTGGGTGGGTGGGGCTATTGCTTGCTTATAAACAGACCCTGTAGGAAAAAGTAAAATTTAGCCCCGCCCACCCACCCGTTCTTTCATTTTTTTCTTCTAAATTAAGAAATAAGTCTTATAGGAAATAGAATAAAAAAAAAAATTACGATTAGCGCTTCTTTTTAACGGCCTACATTTTTTTAGTTTCTACTCTCACTCTACAAAAGAACATATAATTAACCCCACCTACCCACCCCGCTTTCATTTCAGTGATTCATTTTAATTGGTCTGAAGGAAAGCTGTATCTCATATTAAACAGAAATAAAATCGTTTGAGTCAGAACAGCGCGAGTGGGTGGGGCTAGTATCTTCTAACATACGACTGACTTTTGCAAATGACTTGCTTTCTAAGAAAATAAAGGGTGGGTGGGCGGGGCTACTACTTGCTAAGATAAGACCGACTGTGGAAAATTACATACCCCCTAAGAAAATAGAGGGCGGGTGGGCGAAGCTAAGGCTGATTTTGGTAAATGATTGAACAATATTTAGAGTAATCATTGCAATCAAAAGGGGGTGGGTGGACGGGGCTATTGCTTGTTTACAAACGTCTCTATAGGAAAAAGTAAAACTTAGCCCCGCCCACCCACCCGTTCGTCCATTTTTGTGCTTCTGAAACAAGAAATCAATCTTATAGCAAATAGTATATCAAAAAATTACTATTAACGATTTTTTAACGGCCTACATTCTTTTAGTTTCCATTCTCACTATACAAAAGAACATATAATTAACCCCACCCGCTCACCCCGCGTTCATTTCACTAATTCATTTTATCTAATCCAAATGAAAGGTAGATCTCATAGTAAACAAAAATAAAATGGGTAGAATGAGAACAGCGCAAATGGGCGGGACTAATACCTACTTACTAGATAGGACTGACTTTTAGAAATGACTTACCTTCTGAAAAAATAAGGGGGGGTGGGCGTGGCTAGTACTTGTTAAGATAAGACTGACTGTGGAAAATTACTTATCCTTTAAGAAAATAGAAGGCTGGTGGGTGGCGCTAGTATTTCTTAGGATAAGGCTGATTTTGGTAAATGACTGATAAATATTAATAGTAATCACTGAAATGAAAAGGGGGTGGATGGGCGGGGACTATTGCTTGCTTATAAATGACTCTATAGGAAAACGTTAAAGTTAGCCCCGCCCACCCACCCATTCTCTCATTGTTTTCTTCTGAAATAAGCAATAAATCTTATGGCAAACAGTATAACAAAAAATTACGATTAGCGCTTTTTTTAACGGCCTACATTTTTTTAGTTCCCATTCTCACTCTACAAAAGAACATATGATTAACCCCGCCCATCCGCCCCGCCTTGATTTCAGTGATTAATTTTATCTGGTCGGAAAGAAAGGTATTTCTCATACTGAACAGAAATAAAATCGTTGAAATCAGGAGCGCGGGTGGGCGGGGCTATTACCTGGCAGGATGGGACTGACTTTTATAAATGACTTACCCTGTAAGAAAATAATGGGTGGGTGGGCGGGGCTATTGCTTGTTTACAAATTGCTCAGTAGAAAAAAGTTAAACCTAGACCCGCCCACTCACTGGTTTTCTTTTTTTTTCCTCAAATAAGAAACGAATTTCATGCCAATAGATAACAAAAAATTAGCATTAGCGCTTTCTTTAACGGCCTACATTTTTTTAGTTCCCATTCTCACCCTACAAAAGAACATACAATTAACCCCGCCCACCCACCCTGCCTTCATTTCTGTGATTCATTTTATCTAGTCCGAATGAAAGGTGGTATCATACTGAACAGAAATAAAACCGTTGGAATCAGAACAGCACGGGGTTCGGTGGGCGGGGCTAGTATTCCTTAGGATAAGGCTGATTTTGCTGAAATAAGACTGATTTTGTAAATGACTTACCTTCTAAGAAAATAAAGGGTGGGTGGGCGGGGCTAACACTTGCTAAGATAATACAGACTGTGTAAAATTACAAACATACCCTGTAAGAAAATGGAGTGCGGTGGACGGGGTCAGTATTTCTTAAGATAAAGCTGATTTTGGTAAATGACTGAACAATATTTAGAATAATCACTGGAATGAATAGGAGGTGAGTGGGTGGTGACTATTGCTTGCTCATAAATAACTCTATAGGAAAAAGTTAAACTTAACCCCGCCCACCCACCCGTTGCCTGACTTTTTCCTTCTGAAATAAAAAATAAATCTTATGGCAAATGGTATAACAAAAAATTACGATTAGCGTTTTCTGTTTAACGGCCTATATTTTTTTTAGTTCCCATTCTCACTATACAAAAAAACATATAATTAACCACGCCCACCCACCCCGCCTTCATTTCAGTAATACATTTTATCTGGTCTGAAGGAAAAGTAGATCTCATACTGAACAGAAATAAAATCGTTGGAGTCAGAACAACGCGAGTGGGCGGGGCTATTACCTGCTAAGCTACGACTGACTTTTGTAAATGACTTACCTTCCAAAAAAGTAAAGGGTGGATGGGTGGGGCTAGTACTTGCTAAGATAAGACTGACTGAGGAAAATTACAAATCCTCAAAACAAATAGAGGGCGGGTGGGCGGGGCTAGTAAATATTTCTTAAAGTAAGGATGATTTTAGTAAATGACTGAACAATGATAAGAGTGATCACTGGAGCGACGAGAGGGTGAGTGAGCGAGACTATTGCTTGCTTATAAATGACTCTGTAAGAAAAACTTAAACCTAGCCCCGCCCACCCACCGATTCTTAATTTTTTTTTTCTGAAACAAGAAATCAATTGTATAGCAAATAGTATAACAAAAAATTACTTTTTTTTGATGGCCTACAGTTTGTTAGTTCCCATTCTCACTCTTTAAAAGAACATACAATTAACCCCGGCCCCCCCCCGCCTTCATTTCAGTGATTCATTTTATCTGGTCCGAATGAAAGATGGATCTCATACTGAACAGAAATAAAATCGTTGGAATCAGAACAGCGCGGGTGAGGGGGGCTATTACCTGCTAAGATACGACTGACTTCTGTAAATGACTTACCTTCTAATAAAATAAAGGGTGGGTGGGCGGGGCTAGTACTTGTTAAGATAAGACTGACTGTGGAAAATTACACACATACCCTGTAAGAAAATAGAGGGCGGGTGGACGGGGTCAGTATTTCTTAAGATAAGGCTGATTTTGGTAAATGACTGAACAATATAAGAGTAATTACCGGAATGAAGAGGGGGTGGATGGGTGGGGCTATTGCTTGCTTACAAATTGATTCTGTAGGAAACAGTTAAACTTAGCCCCGCCCACCCACCCGTTCTCTCATGTTTTTTTTTCTAAAATAAAAAAATAAATTTTTTAGTAAATAGTACAACAAAAAATACGATTAGCGCTTTTTTTAACGAGCTACATTTTTTTAGTTTCCATTCTTACTGTACAAAAAAAAACAATTAACCCCACCCACCCACCCCGGCTTCATTTCAATGATTCATTTTATCTGGTCCGAAGGAAAGGTAGATCTCATACTGAACGGAAATAAAATCGTTGGAATCAGAACAGCGCGGGTGGGCGGGGCTAGTATCTGCTAAGATAGGACTGACTTTTGTAAATGACTTACCTTCTAAGAAAATAAAGGGTGGGTGGGCGGGGCTAGTACTTGCTAAGATAAGACTTACTTTGGCAAATGACGTATCCTCTGAGAAAATAGAGTGCGGTTGGGCAAAGCCAGTATTTCTTAAGATAAGGCTGATTTTGATAAATGACTGAACAATATTAAAAGTAATGACTGGAATGAAGAGGGGGTGGGTGGGTGGGGCTATTGCTTTCTTGTAAATGACTATGTTGGGAAAAGGAATTTCGTGGGCTTGGGTGAGATCCTACTTGTCTGGAAGAACGCTGTTCGTGTGCCTAACTCCCAAATTCAAATGCAATAAATATTTCGTGAATTAAACTTAATCGTATGGATACAGTAAATGCGTGCCTAGAAGGCAGTTATATTTTTACAGTTTGGGCCGGCTAATCCCCACAAGAACATAAATCTTACCAGTGCAAAAATCAACCAGCGAATTCCTTTAGTAATTAACCGAAAAACTTAAGTTTTGCAAAATCAGTGTTTGCTGAAAAATTCCTACTTCCTACAGCAAAAATTGGGTTTTACAAACTACACAAAACATTTGCCAAAGTTGTTTTTCTTTCTTCTTGTTAAGTAAAGTTTTAAAGCAAATTTCAAAACCATAAAGTGATATTTATAAATTTTATTTTAACTAATAAAAGAGTACCACGAATATCAACCAAATCCCAGCCTTATTATTCAGAGAAATACATATCGTTAAAATGATATTTGAACCGCTTATGTATCATGGTTTCCTAACAAATTCTGTGCTAAACTCGCTTTAGATTTTAACTCCCTACTCGGTTAACCTCGCCTTGTTTTGGTGCGCAGACGTCTCCCTTAACAGAACTATAATTGTTGCTTATGCAACCAACAATACACATATCCTGGCAGCTGGCAGCTGGCAGCTGTGGTAAACAAAGTGACGCTTCCGTCGACAGCACCCTCTCGATTTTTCAAATTCAGTTCAATTACCGCATCCACAATCCAAGAAATGGCAAATAACACCCCTTGATGCTTAAACGTAAACCACGAAAAACCCCAATTCACTTAAACCCCCATTTCTTATTGAAAATTTTTAGGTTAATATGACAACCCCCGACCACTCATCAGAGCTTCACAGATACGAAAACTGGGGAACTATCCACTACTGCAATGAGTGCAAATACTTCACAAAATCACTCCTCGCCATCAGAACTCACCTAAGTTACCACAGCTCCGACAAACCAAAACTTTTCGACTGCTCTGTAAGCACTCCAGAGAAATTTTCCTGCAGTGAATGCTCCTTCAGCACCCACTTCACCATGGACTTCAACAAGCACGTGAAAATCCACAAAGACATAAAAACCATCGACAAGGTTCTACAATGGGCCGGACTACCATTTCCAACCAAAGACAAACTCTTTCTGAAAAAGCAAGCCAAGAGCGAGGATTCACAGATTAAGTGGTTTCACTGTGACAAGTGTTCGTACAAGACGAGACAAGTGGGGCACTTGAATAGACACGCAGCTGTGCATTTAGAGGACCGAACGTGGTATAAATGCAATATGTGCACGTATAAGTCGACTGAGAAGTTCACGCTGATAAGTCACATGAATCTCCACAGCGGGAAGTTGTTTAGTTGTGACAAGTGTTGCTACAAGACTCCGTACAAGAAGAATTTGAACAGACACAAGAACACCCACATGGGGATGAAAGAGAAGAAGGAAAAAGGAAGTTTCGTGTGTGATTTGTGTTCACACAAAACTACTTCCAAAAATGGGTTGAAGTACCATATGTTCCATAAACACACGCCACCTGAGGATATGGTGTGGTTTCCTTGTGGGAAATGTGAATTTAAAACCAGAGACAGGAACGACTTAAAGAGACACAGCGCCGTACATCTGGCAGAGGAAGACAAGTTTAAATGTTCACTATGTTCTTTCAAAACAAGACACATAAAGTATTTGAGAAAGCACAGGCTCCAGAAACACAGTTCCAGTGTGTTGTTAGATTGAGTATTTAGGGATTTTGATATGTATGGCTTGAAGAATATAATTTATTTTTCAAATTAATGTGTTGGAAAATATGACAAATTTTGGTTACCTATCCTACCCTCCTAGTAAATTTGTAGTGGCAATGGTGTCAATCTTGAAAAAACTAGTAATTTTGTTATTTATCCTGTCAAACTTGTCAATAGTGTCAATATCCATGACCTGCGCAAATTAAACGTCACCTCAATTTTAACAAAATAAAAATAATTACAAAAAATCGTTGATAACGTTATCAATGATCCGGCTGAAAAACAGTCATTCGTAACCATGGCATAGGTACATCGTTTCCCCTACCGTTTAATTTGTTAATAACAATTTCTAGGTTATGGTCATGGCCACTCTGGACTACTCCGACGCGAAAGTCTTCGAAAACTACCGAATGGTCCACAACTGCAACAAGTGCAATTATTTCACGAAATCCCTCTTCGCAATCAGAAACCACATAAAGCGTCACCGGCTGGCCAAATCCTCCAAGTTGTTCAACTGTGCTGAAAGCACCCCCGAGCCGTTCGCCTGTAAAGACTGCAACTTTTGCACCGACTTAACAATAGAGCTCAACAGGCACATACGAGACCACGCCCCGCCTAAGCCCAAAACCGACTTAACGACGCCAAAAACCAAAGAAAAAAAGTATGTAGTTGAAGGCAATGAATTACTCAAGTGCACCGAGTGCCCGTTCACCACCCGTCGCCCCTACAACCTCCAGAAACACGTGAAATTCAAACATTCCACGAGTGAGAAATTGTACACTTGTAATGAGTGTTCGTTCACGACAAACCGCAGTTTTAATTTGAAAACGCACATCAAGTTTAAGCACACGGCGGAGGAAAAAGTCCAGTGGTTCCAGTGCAGTGTGTGCTCTTATAAAGCTAAATCAAAGAGTATTCTTAAAAGACACATGATTCGGATTCATACGCCGGAAAATATTAAGTGGTTTGAATGTAAAGAGTGTGCGTATAAAGCTAAAGTTGTGAGTGATTTGAACACTCACGTTAAGTATCATCACACTGAGAAAAAACACGAGAAACCGGTTAAATGCGAGTTGTGTTCGTATACAACTAAACATAATAAGAATTTGAAGGTGCATATGTTGATGAGACATACGGCTGCTGAGGATATTAATTGGTTTTATTGCACGAGGTGTTCGTATAAGGCGAAGAGGAAGGGCTCGTTGAAAGTTCACATGAAGAAGATGCATGAAGATGATGGAGGTGAATGGGTGTGTGAATTGTGTCCATACAAAACTACTGAAAAAATTACGCTGAAAATGCACATGTTGAATAAACATACGTCGTTTGATAGTAGTAAGTTGTTTGAACAAGTGTAGTAGGTAGGGACAATAGATTGGTAGGGAAAGGGCGTACTAGAAAGCCAAATAAAGTCTTGTTGAATCTATGTTTTATAAATTAAAATTTATATATTCTGCTAGTTTAGAATAAAGTTTTATACAGTTTTAGAAGTTTCAGTTTTTTCCTGCTACAAAATTGAAATTTGGGTTTGCATTCTTAAAAGGTTGGCACTCCTGCAAATCTTTCAAGTTGCTAGAACTAGATTAGTTTCCATATAATAAAAAAATTACAGACAACAATGAATCTCACTTCTCAATTGCCATTTCGTATATCTCATTTCACACATCTTACATTTCATTTCGCACATCTTGAATTTCATTTCGCACATCTCAGATTTCATTTTACGCATATCATGTTTATTTCGTACATCTCATTTCACTTTGATCTTCTCATATTTCATTTCTCACATCATACATTGAAATTTCATTTCTTACATCTCATATTTCAATTCTCACATCTTGAATTTCACTTCACACGTCTCATATTTCATTTCCCACATCTCATTTCTCTTTTCTCACACCTCATTTTGATTACACAAGTAACATATTTCATTTTGTATATCTAGAATTTTATTTCGCACATCTCATACTCCATTTTGCGCGTCTCAAATTTCATTTCGCACATGGCATTTCTCATTTCGTACACCCGATTTTTTATTTCGCACATCTTGAATTTCATTTCACACATCTCATATTCATTTATTCACACGTCTCGTATTTCATTTCTCACATCTCATGTTTCATGTCACACATCCCACATTTCATTTCGCACATTTGATATTTCATTCCTGAGATCTCATATTTCAATTCACACATTTCAAATTTTATTTCACGCATACATATTTCATTTCACACATTCTGAATTTCATTTCGCACATCTATTTCATTTCACACGTCTCATATTTAATTTCTCTCATTTCATTTCTTACATCTCATATTTCAATTCGCACATCTTGAATTTCATTTCGCACGTCTCATTTCATTTCGAACTTATCACATTTCATTTCACACATTTCATATTTTAGTTCAGATATCTTATATTTCATTTCGCATGTTTCACAATTCATTTTGCACACCTCGTATTTCATTCTGCGCAATTTGTATTTCATTTTGCACATCTCACATTCATTACATACATATCATACCCCATTTCTCACATCTTATATTTTATTCCGCACATCCCATATTCATTTCACTCATCTCGTATTTTATTTCGCACATCTCATATTTAATTTCCCACATCTCATACTCCATTTTGCGCGTCTCAAATTTCATTTCGCACATGGCATTTCTCATTTCGTACACCTGATATTTTATTTCGCACATCTTGAATTTCATTTCACACATCTCATATTCATTTATTCACACATCTCGTATTTCATTGCTCACATCTTATGTTTCATGTCACACATCCCACATTTCATTTCGCACATTTGATATTTCATTCCTGACATCTCATATTTCAATTCACACATTTCAAATTTTAATTCACGCATACATATTTCATTTCACACATTTTGAATTTCATTTCGCACATCTATTTCATTTCACACGTCTCATATTTAATTTCTCTCATTTCATTTCTCACATCTTATATTTTATTCCGCACATCCCATATTCATTTCACTCATCTCGTATTTTATTTCGCACATCTCATGTTTAATTTCCCACATCTCATACTCCATTTTGCGCGTCTCAAATTTCATTTCGCACATGGCATTTCTCATTTCGTACACCTGATATTTTATTTCGCACATCTTGAATTTCATTTCACACATCTCATATTCATTTATTCACACATCTCGTATTTCATTTTTCACATCTCATGTTTCATTTCACACATCCCACATTTCATTTCGCACATTTGATATTTCATTCCTGACATCTCATATTTCAATTCACACATTTCAAATTTTATTTCACGCATGCATATTTCATTTCACACATTTTGAATTTCATTTCGCACATCTATTTCATTTCACACGTCTCATATTTAATTTCTCTCATTTCATTTCTTACATCTCATATTTCAATTCGCACATCTTGAATTTCATTTCGCACGTCTCATATTTAATTTCACACGTCTCATTTCATTTCGAACTTTTCACATTTCATTTCGCACGTTTCACAATTCATTTTGTACACTTCATATTTCATTCTGCGCAATTTGTATTCCATTTTGCACATATCACATTCATTACATACATATCATACTCCACTTCTCACATCTTATATTTTATTCCGCACATCCCATATTCATTTCACTCGTCTCGTATTTCATTTCGCACATCTCATATTTCATTTCCCACATCTCATTTCTCTTTTCTCACATCTCATTTTGATTACACAAGTAATATATTTCATTTTGTATATCTTGAATTTTATTACGCACATTTCATACTCCATTTTGTGCGTCTCAAATTTCATTTCGCACATGGAATTTCTCATTTCCTACACCCGATATTTCATTTCGCACATCTTGAATTTCATTTCCCACATCTCATATTTCATTTGACACATGATATTTCGTTTCGCACATCTCATATTCATTTATTCACACATCTCGTATTTCATTTTTCACATCTCATGTTTCATTTCACACATCCCACATTTCATTTCGCACATTTGATATTTCATTCCTGACATCTCATATTTCAATTCACACATTTCAAATTTTATTTCACGCATGCATATTTCATTTCACACATTTTGAATTTCATTTCGCACATCTATTTCATTTCACACGTCTCATATTTAATTTCTCTCATTTCATTTCGCACATCTCATATTTCAATTTTCACATCTCAAATTTCATTTTACACATCTGGTATTTTATTTCGCACATCTCACTTCTCATTTCGTACATCTGATATTTCTTTTCGCACATCTTGAATTGCATTTTGCACATCTGATGTTTCATTTTGCACATATCATATTCATTTCGCGAATCTCGTATTTCATTTCGCACATCTCATATTTCATTTCGTACATTGGATATTTCATCTCTTACATCCCATATTTCAGTTCGCACATCTCACATTTCTTTTCAAGCATATCATATTTCATTTCGCACATCTTGAAGTTCATTTCGCACATCTCAGATTTCATTTCACGCATATATCATGTTTATTTCGTACAACTTGAATTTCATTTCGCACATCTCATTTAATTTCGAACTTCTCATATTTCATTTCTCACATCTCACATTTCATTTCGCACATCTCATATTCATTTCACACACTGATATTTCATTTCTTAAATCTCACCTTAATTCACACATTTTAAATTTCATTTCACGCATACATATTTCATTTTACACATCTTGAATTTCATTTCGCACGTCTCACATTTAATTTCTCTCATTTCATTTCGAACATCTCAATTTTCAATTTTCACGTATCTCAAATTTCATTTTACACATCTGATATTTTATTTCGCACATCTCACTTTTTATTGCGTACATCTGATATTTCTTTTCGCACATCTTGAATTTCATTTTGCACATCTGATATTACATTTTGCATATATCATATTCATTTCGCGAATCTCGTATTTCATTTCGCACATCTCACATTTCATTTCGCACATTTGATATTTCATCTCTTACATCCCATATCTCAATTCGACATCTCACATGTCATTTCAAGCATATCATGTTTCATTTCGCACATCTCAAATTTCATTTCACGCATATCATGTTTATTTCGTACATCTTGAATTTCATTTCGCACATCTCATTTCATTTCGAACTTCTCATATTTCATTTCTCACATCTCACATTTCATTTCGCACATTTCATATTTCAGTTCACATATCTTATATTTCATTTCGCACGTTTTACAATCATTTCGCACATCTCATGTTTCATTCTGCGCATCTTGTATTTCATTTTGCACATCTCACATTCATGACATAAATACATATCATATTCCATTTCGCACATCTTATATTTTATTCCGCACATCACATTATTCATTTCACTCATCTCGTATTTCATTTCGCACATCTCATTTTTCATTTCTCACACCTCATTTCTCTTTTCTTACATCTCATTGCATTTTGATTACACAAGTAACATATTTCATTTTGTATATCTTGAATTTTATTTCGCACATCTCATACTCCATTTTGCGCGTCTCAAATTTCATTTCGCACATGGCATTTCTCATTTCGTACACCCGATTTTTCATTTCGTACGTCTGGTATCTCATATTCATTTCCCAAATCTCGTATTTCATTTCGCACATCTTGAATTTCATTTCGCACGTCTCGTATTTCATTTCATACATGTCATTTCATTTCGAACTTTTCACAATTCATTTCGCACATCTTATATTTTATTCCGCAGATCCCATACTCATTTCACTCATTTCGTATTTCATTTCGCACATCTCATATTTCATTTCTCACATCTCATTTCTCTTTTCTCACATATCATTTTGATTACACAAGTAACACATTTCATTTTGTATATCTTGACTTTTATTTCGCATATCTCATACTCCATTTCGCGTGTTTCAAATTTCATTTCGAACATGGCATTTCTCATTTCATACACCCGATATTTCATTTCGTACATCTGATATTTCATTTTGTATATCTCATATTCATGCAAATCTCGTATTTCATTTCGCACATCTGAAATGTCATTTCCCACATCTCATATTTTATTTGACGCATCTCATATGTCATTTCGCACATCTCACATTCATTTCACATGTCTCGTATTTCATTTTGCACATCTTGAATTTCACTTCTCACATCTCATATTTCATTTTACACATCCCACATTTCATTTCTTACATCTCAGATTTCATTTCACGCATATCATGTTTCATTTCACACATCTCATTTTCATTTCGAACTTTTCATATTTCATTTCGCACATCTCACTTCTTATCTCGTACATCTGATATTTCATTTCGCACATCTCGTATTTCAATTTGCGAATCTGTATTTCATTTCGCACATCTTGAATTTTATTTCTGACATCTCATATTTCATTTCGCACATCTCATATTCATTTCACACATCTCGTATTTCATTTCGAACTTTTCACATTTCATTTCGCACATTTAATATTTCAGGTCACATATCTTATATTTCATTTCGCACGTTTTACAATTCATTTCGTACATCTTATATTTTATTCCGCAAATGCCATATTCATTTCACTCATCTCGTATTTCATTTCGCACATCTCATATTTCATTTCTCACATATCATTTTGATTACACAAGTAACACATTTCATTTTGTATATCTTGACTTTTATTTCGCATATCTCATACTCCATTTCGCGCGTTTCAAATTTCATTTCGAATATGGCACTTCTCATTTCGTATACCCAATATTTCATTTCGTACATTTGATATTTCATTTAGTATATCTCATATTCATTTTACGAATCTCGTATTTCTTTTCGCACAACTTAAATGTCATTTCCTACAACTCATATTTTATTTGAAGCATCTCATATGTCATTTCGCACATCTCACATTGATTTCATATGTTTCGTATTTCATTTCTCACATCTCATATTTCATTTTACACATCCCACATTTCATTTCGCACGTTTCACAATTCATTTCACTCATCTCGTATTTCAATTTGCGCATCTGTATTTCATTTCGCACATTTCATATTCATTTCACACATCTCGTATTTCATTACACACATCTCATACTTCATTTCACATATCTCATTTTTTTATTTCTCACATCTAATTTCTCATTTTGTATATCTTGAATTTCATTTCGCACATCGCATACTTCATTTTGCATATCTCATTTTCCGTTTCATATATCTTAATCTCAAATTTCATTTCAAACATCTGATATTTCATTTCGCACATTTGATGTTTCATTTCGCACATATAATTTTTTATTTCTCACATCTCATTTCTCATTTTGCCTATGTTGAATTTCATTTCGCACATGTCCCTTCTCATATTTCATTTTGTGCATGTTGTATTTCATTTCGCATATTTTGAATTTTATTTCTCACATTTCATATTTCATTTCTACATATAACATCTTTTTTCTCACGTCTCATTTTGATTTCACACGTAACATATTTCATTTCGCCCATCTCATTTTTTATTTCTCACATCTAATTTCTCATTTTGTATATCTTGAATTTCATTTCACACATCTTATATATTTTATTTCGCACATATCATACTCCATTTCCCGCGTTTCAAATTTCATTTCGTACATGGCATTTCTGATTTCAAACATCTCACTTCTCATTTTCCATTTCACAAATCGGATATTTTATTTCGCACATTTGGTATTTCATTTCGCATGTATAATTTTTTATTTCTCACATCTCATTTCTCATTTTGCCTATCTTGAATTTCATTTCGCACATGTCCCTTCTCATATTACATTTTGCACATGTTGTATTTCATTTCGCACAACTTATATTCATTTCACACATCTCGCATTTCATTACACACACCTCATATTTCATTTCTCACATCTCACATCTCTTTTCTCACGTCTGATTTTGATTTCACACGTAACAAATTTCATTTCACCCATCTCATTTTTTATTTCTCACATCTTATTTCTCATTTTGAATCTCTTGAATTTCATTTCGCACATCTCATACTCCATTTCGCGCGTCTCAAATTTCATTTCGTACATGGCATTTCTCATTTCAGACATCTTACTTCTCGTTTTGCATATCTCATTTTCCATTTCATATATTTCATATTTCAAATTTTATTTCTCACATCTGATTATTTCATTTCGCACATCTCATATTCAATTCACACATCTCGCATTTCATAACACACATCTCATTTCTCTTTTCTCACATCTCTTATATTGATTTCACACGTAACATATTTTATTTCACCCATCTCATTTTTTATTTCTCATATCTCATTTCCCATTTTGTATATCTTGAATTTCATTTCGCACATCCTATATTTTATTTCGCACATTTCATACCTCATTTCGCGCGTCTCAAATTTCATTTCCCATATCGTGAACTTTTAAAGGTAAAGGTAATTATAAGTGGAGAAATGACAAATCTAGAATTAGAAACTTCAAACATCTCTTTGTCATTTCGCACGTAACATATTTCATTTTGCACATCTTATATTTCATTTCTCGCATCTCAAATTTTATTTCGCAGAACTCATTGTTCACACATCTTGAATTTCATTTCGCACATCTTGAAATTTGTTACGCACATTTCATATTTCAGTTCACAATATGATTTCATTTCGCACATCTCAAATTTTATTTGGGTATTTCTGATTTCGGACATGTCATTTCTCATTTCGCATATCATTTTACAGCTACCCTTAAACTTTGATAATTCAAAGCCAACTTTTAAAGGTAATGGTAATTATAAGTGTGGGGAAATGACAAATCTAGAATTAGAAACTTCAAATCTGTCAACTGATATTGTTTGCCAAAAAAAAAAAAACTAAGAAAGGCGCCGAAATTTGAAAGTTAGACTTCAAATCTAGCAGCCAAGATTTTTTGACAACTTAATAAACGAAATTATTCTAGTTGAGGTTCACAAACTCTCGTAATCATTCTACCTCCTCTAACTCTATCGATACATTTTGCAAATGTAAAAATGTCAAATCTGGCAATCTTGACAACTGGAAATTACAGAAAACATCATTATATCAATTTTAACTAGAAATCCAGGATTGCCAATAAACTTAGACATTTCTAATCACGTGGTACAATCTAAAAAGTAAAAAATCTAAGAGAAGTCAAGTGTCAAATTTGCTGTTAACTACATTAATTACATCAATTACGTGAACAAATAAATTCCATTAAATGTAGTTTTTACAAAAATAGGTACCGAGTGACTATTAATGTTTGTGATTTTTGGTCAGGTTGGCAACATATTTAAAATTCAGTAATTGCCACCTTCCCTTAGGGGTGCTCATGCCAAAAATGACAATCGTGAACTGACATGTTAACATTGCTACCAACGATTTAGAATTGCCAACTCAAAAATTTGCTCATATTTGGAAAAAAACACCGCAAAATTTGCCAAAACCTTTAATAACACTACACGAATTAACAATTATAAAAGTAAACACAAAATTTTAAACGTCATCAGAAACTTCCTACTCCAACACTCCGCCCTAAAACTTCCTGATGTCCACCTGAAACAAAAAGTTTGATTTACTTTACTAGAAAAATCGAGTTAGTACTTACAATTTTGTCCAAATCGGATTGTCTTGAAAACACACTGGAAGTTTATAGTGGGCAGGTTCTGAAAGAAAAACATGAGTCATTAATCAATAACATGTTACTATCTTAAAACACAAAACGTTGACACATGATTGATTACCTAGTACCAATTATAAAAAAACAAAACAATTTTAGTTATGTTACTTTTAAATGCAGAGATAATTTAATAATGAAATGGCATTATTTAAGCGACCGCCTTCACATCTTTGAAGGAATATGGCATAAATTTTAATATATTTGCCTATATTTCAATAGAAGACACAAACAATTTTTCATTGTCCTTGACTTCCGCACTTTGCAATGTTTCACTCTCTGTCATTATGTCAACAACGGAAGCTTACTTTCTAAACTGAGTTCTTAATTTAAAACGCGCAGTAAGTTATGCAGGATTTTTGACGAACACAACTTATAACAAATTTAATATCATTGTTTGTAATTTTTATTTCTTTTTGATGTGAAATTGTGAAAGTAGCGCTTTTATTACATCAAGATTATCCATTTTGTATATCTAGATTTGTGGCAGAGTCCTTGAAACCAAAAACCGTCCCTCGTGTCAATGACAGTTTCCAAATTGACGTAACTTTGACATTTCTATCTAGGGGAATATAGTTACGCCAACTGAAAAAAGTTGCATCACCAAAAAACATGTTTGATTGAACTGAAAATGATCAAACTTGGCACGCATCTTTAATTTGCCAGAATTCTGCTAGTTTTTTTAAACAATATTGGCCAAACAAATCAGTTTTTTGTCTTTGTATTGATAAAATTAGCGTGACTTTAGTCACTTCCGGACGACATTATATTGTCTTGATTTTCCCTCGAATTTCCCTCTTTAACCTCAATTAGTTGATAATTAACATTTACAAAAATGTCGAGTTTGTGCAGATTGTGTCTGCAAGAACGAAAAGAGTGCGTTCCTTTAACCGAAAACCGGGGCACAGAAATGCTGGAAACTTTGACTTCCATTAAATTTACAAACAATGAAAAAATCTCCACATTAATATGCCCCCAGTGCTACCAAGACCTCACAACCGCCTTCAACATCCAACAAAAGCTCCTCAAGGTGGAACTTCAACACCAGGACAACCTTTTGGCCGACTTTCTTACCCAGAATCACGACGAGTTGAAAAAGCTTGCTCCTGAAGACCTCCAGATCAAAGATGTTGCCCGAACAACCACCAAGGAACACCAATTGAAACCTGATGTTAACCAATCACCGGTTAGGCATTCCTGTGGACTGTGTTGTGACAAATTTCAGTTTCCTGGGGAGTTCGTCGATCACTTGAAGCAGCATATTCTTAGTGGTGTCAAGACTGTCAAGTCGCCTGAAAAATGCGAGATTTTGTGTGAACAGTGCGGCGACATTTTCACTAGTAGTGAAACTTATGATGAACATAGGGTTACTGTTCATCCAGGTTTTGTATGTGGAACATGTTCTGAGTGTTTTGGTTCGAATGATGACTTGGAGGAACATGTTAAGGAGAAACATACAGAATTGAAGCAGTTTGTTTGTGATATTTGTAATGAAAAGTTCTCGCTTAGGTATATTTTGCAAGTCCACAAGGTTCAACATAGTATTAAGTATCCATTTGTGTGTGATGATTGTGGCCGAAGTTTCAAGTATTTGGTTAGTTTGGGGGTGCATCAGAAGATGAAACATAGTCCTGGTGGAGCGGACAACCACCAGTTTGCGATTACGTTAAAAAAGCAGTTGTTTAAGTAGTCGCAGGATTAGTTTTGTTAAGTTTTTTTCTAGACAAGGAAGAAATGTTAAGTTTTAAACTAGCTTGGAAGTTTATTTTGTTCATTTATCACTTATAGTCTTAAGTTTCATCCAGTGGTTGGATTTCAGTTTTCAGGTTGTAAGGACTGAAAAGCGATTGACGTGTTTGGATGTTACACTTTATTCGTTTTGCGTTTGTCTTAAATAAATTTTAAAAAATGGAGGGTGGTTTTAAGGTAAATTTATTTCATAAAGTAAACTGAAGAAATACATGCAAAGATGAACCTAATAATATGAAAATAGTAATTTTTCGTTCTGAGGTTGGCATGAAGCAGTACAAACCTGGAGTAGATGCCACCATGACGACAAAAAAGTTACTACTGGGCATATGAATTGACAAAACTCGAAATCAGGTATTTTGTGTCAAGTTTGTACAGAGCGACCAACAAGTACTGTTTCAGTTGGTACCAATGAATTTGCTTGAAATTGGTAGCACTGTCACCCCGCCTCTCTTCCTGTCAAAATTGACAAGGTTGAGAGTGATATTTAATTTCAAACAAAATTTGTTACTGATTATTTAAAAAACAAAAAACTTTCAGGGCACAAAAAGGTTTCTCAAAATTGGGCATTTCAATGTTACCAACTCAAACACTATCTGTTGATTATGCTGTACAAACAAACCTATTACTAAATGTATTTTTAGGATAATGATGTCGGTATTTCAGCTATTTGACACTACATCTGTCAAACTAAACAATGCGGTGGTTATTCCAACATAATTTTTCTAACATTAAATTTCAAGGGTCGCTGGACGACTTATTTTTGTGTGTCCATCCCTACCAAAATGTCGATGACGTCACCTAAGAAGTTTGCTTAGTAATTGTATTTAACACACCTATACTTTTTATTTTAATATACTTATAAGTATCTGCGTCAGGTACAAGGGAAGTTCGATCGAAATAACCCTAGATATTTCAATTGCTTAAAATTATCGCATATACAGAGTGAGTCACTGAGCGCGCCCTCATAGATATTTCATTAATTATTCGAAAAAAAAGTACAGTTCTTAGGCTTTATGACCACAGTTTATTTTCGAAATTCCGATGCGATGTTGCCAAGTTACTCAAATTTTCTTGAATTTTCGTAGCAAAGCAAGTTCACAATTTTTAAAATCTGGCTCACAGTATTTAGTGGAAAAATAAGCGCTTTATTGTGGTATAAATAGATTCGGGTTTTAATATACAGGGTTTTTTAATATCTCAAAATCTTAAAAATAACGTTATTGCAAAAAAAAAGTCAAAAATATTGGAATAACGTGGTAACGTCGCAACAAAATTTCAAAAATAAACTATGGTTATAAAGTCGAAAGAAACTAATAAGAATATCTAAAAATATACAGGCTATGCCATTTAAACAACTAAGTAGTATGCTATGCCCCGAAAACACTCTATATAAACGAACTACTTTGAATGTATGCTGCTCAAAGAGCCGTATATTTTAGTTTTCTGTTTTTTTTTTCTATATCTGGTAATAATTAATAGATATCAAGGACAGCGCGCTTAGTCACTCACCCTGTATACCGGGTGTCTGGAAAATGGCGGATTAACTCATCAGTATGTTATGTACGGGGGTTTCGGGATTTTGATAATTTTTTGTAAAAGTTAGTCATCAGCACTTGCTAAGATAAACCCGATTTTGGGAAATGACATACTCTCTAAGAACAGAGAGGGTGGGTGGGCGGGGCTAGTACCTGCTAGGATAAGACTGATTTTGGCAAATAAGATCCCTATAAGAAAATAGAGGGCGGGTGGGCGGCGTTAGTGCTTACTAATCTAAAATCGATTTTGGTATATGACATACCCTCTAAAAAAATAGTGGACGGGTGGAGCTAGTATTTGTTAAAATCAGTTTTATCTTAGCAGGTACTAGCCCCGCCCACCCACCCTCTCTTTTCTTGGAAGGAATCTCATTTGCCAAAATCAGCCCTCCCTTGACAGGTACTAGGCCCGCCCACCCACCCTCTCTTTTCTTAGAGGATATTTCATTTGCCAAAATGAGTTTTATCCTAGCAGCTACTAGCTAGGATAAGACTTATTTTGGCAAATGAGAAACCTTCTAAGAAAAGAGAGGGTGGGTGGGCGGGGCTAGTACCTGCTAAGATAACACTAATTTGGCAAATGACGTATTCTCTAAGAAAATTGTGGACGGGTGGGGCTACTAACTGTTAAAATCAGTTTTATCTTAGCAGGTACTAGCCCCGCCCACCCACCCTCTCTTTTCTTGGAAGGAATCTCATTTGCCAAAATCAGTCTTCCCTTGGCAGGTACCAACCTCACCCACCCACCCTCTCTTTTCTTACAGGGTATAAATATAATATACATTTTTTAAATTATTCCATTTTAAATTTTATATTTACGCAATTTTTCAGCTTTCCAATTTAATAATTTTTCGATTTTACAATAATTGAACAATTTTTCAGTTTTGTGATTTTGCAATATTTTGGTTTTTATGTTCTATGTTTTTAATTTTTCCTTTTCATATTCAATTTAATAATTGTGCAATTTTTCAATTCTGTAATTTTGAATTTTTTTCAGTTTTATAATTTTATTATTTTTCGATTTCTCAATTATCCGGTTTTTAATGAACCAACTTTTGAATTTTTTTCGTTTTTAAAATTTTTCGTTTTTTCAATTGTCCTTTAATGAATCAATTAAAAAACTTTCCAATTTCTCGATTTTTCAATTTTGGAATTCTTCGATTTTTCAGTTTAATAATCTTGCATTTTTCGATTTTGTAATTTTGCAATTTTTTGATTTTTTTTTCAGTTTTATAATTTTACATTTTTCGATTTTTCAAATATCCGGTTTTTAACAAACCAATTTTTCAATTTTCTTCGTTTTTAAAATTTTTCGTTTTTTCAGTTATTCAATTTTTGATGTCTCAATTGTCCAAATTTCCTTGTTCGATTTTCCAATTATTTGACTTTTAATTTTTCAAAATTTCAATTTTCAGTTTTGTAATTTTTCTGTTGTAGAATTATATTTCAAATTTTTTAAATTATTCCATTTTAAATTTTATAGTTACGCAGTTTTTCAGCTTTCCAATTTAATAATTTTTCGATTTTACAATAATTAAACAATTTTTCAGTTTTGTGATTTTGCAATATTTTGGTTTTTATGTTCTATGTTTTTAATTTTTCCTTTTCATATTCAATTTAATAATTGTGCAATTTTTCAATTCTGTAATTTTGAATTTTTTTCAGTTTTATAATTTTATTATTTTTCGATTTCTCAATTATCCGGTTTTTAATGAACTAACTTTTGAATTTTTTTCATTTTTAAAATTTTTCGTTTTTTCAATTGTTCTTTAATGAATCAATTAAAAAACTTTCCAATTTCTCGATTTTTCAATTTTGGAATTCTTCGATTTTTCAGTTTAATAATCTTGCATTTTTCGATTTTGTAATTTTGCAATTTTTTGATTTTTTTTCAGTTTTATAATTTTACATTTTTCGATTTTTCAAATATCCGGTTTTTAACAAACCAATTTTTCAATTTTCTTCGTTTTTAAAATTTTTCGTTTTTTCATTTATTCAATTTTTGATGTCTCAATTATCCAAATTTCCTTGTTCGATTTTCCAATTATTTGACTTTTAATTTTTCAAAATTTCAATTTTCAGTTTTGTAATTTTTCTGTTGTAGAATTATATTTCAAATTTTTTAAATTATTTCATTTTAAATTTTATAGTTACGCAATTTTTCAGCTTTCCAATTTAATAATTTTTCGATTTTACAATAATTAAACAATTTTTCAGTTTTGTGATTTTGCAATATTTTGGTTTTTATGTTCTATGTTTTTATTTTTTCCTTTTCATATTCAATTTAATAATTTTGCAATTTTTCAATTCTGTGATTTTGAATTTTTTGATTTTTTTTCAGTTTTATAATTTTAATTTTTCGATTTCTCAAAAATCCGGTTTTTAATGAACCAACTTTTGATTTTTTTCGTTTTTAAAATTTTTCGTTTTTTCAATTGTCCTTTAATGAATTAATTAAAAGACTTTCCAATTTCTCGATTTTTCAATTTTTTGGTTTTGGAATTCTTCGATTTTTCAGTTTAATAATTTTGCAATTTTTCGATTTTGTAATTTTGCAATTTTTTTATTTTTTTTTTTCAGTTTTATAATTTTACAATTTTGCGATTTTTCAATTACTCTATTTTTAATGAACCAATTTTTCAATTTTCTTCGTTTTTAAAATTTTTCGTTTTTTCAATTATTCAATTTTTGATGTCTCAATTATCCGAATTTCCTTGTTCGATTTTCCAATTATTTGATTTTTAATTCTTCAAAATTTCAATTTTCAGTTTTGTAATTTTTCTGTTTTAGAATTATATTTAAAATTTTTTAAATTATTCCATTGTCAATTTTATATTTATGCAACTTTTCAATTTTCCAATTTAATAATTTTTCGATTTTACAATAATTAAACAATTTTTCAGTTTTGTGATTTTGTAATATTTTGATTTTTATGTTTTTTGTTTTTATTTTTTCTTTTTCATATTCAAATTAATAATTTTGCAATTCTGTAATTTTGAATTTTTTATTTCTTTGAAGTTTTATAATTTTACTATTTTTGAACCAACTTTTGAATTTTTTTCGATTTTAAAATTGTTCTATTTTCAATTTTATATTTATGCAATTTTTCAGTTTTGTGATTTTGTAATATATTTTGATTTTTTATTTCCACATTTTTACAATTTTTCGATTTCCCAATTGTCCTGTTTTTAATGAATCAATTATTATAAGACTTTTAAATTTTTTGGTTTTGGAATCCTTCGATTTTTCACTTTCTAAATCTTCGGTTATTCAATTTAATAATTTTCCAATTTTTTGATTTTTCAATTATCCAGTTTTTTTAACCAACTTTTCAATTTTCTTCATTTTTAAAATTTTTCCTTTCTTTCGATTATTCAATTTTTGATATTTCAATTTTACAATA